TTGTATTTGAAACTCTTGCTTACGAATATCTATCGAATTAGTAGTGTTTTAACACTACTTTGAATTGTTATCAGTATGTATCATCTGCATGATTTATCATTATTTTTCTTTATTTATTTTTTTTTCATATTTCATTTCTGTTTAACGAAAAAAAAATTCACATTTATATCGATTTTTTATGACTGCTTCCTCTGATGCCAATTATCTTTGTCGCAAGAGAATAAAGGTGCTTAACTCAATATCATATTTAACGACATTAATCAATGTGAATTGACTTGTTATTTATTTAAAATTATATATATATATATATAATTGAATGTTGAAAAGAAATTTTTACAATAGGAAAGTGAAGTGATATTACAGTTGTTTTGATGTCAGATAACCGTAAAAGATTGGAATTTAAAATGCGATTTCAACTTTCGTTGATTATAGATATTTCTGGTCAGTGCAGATGAGGGAATGTTCAATCTTTCATCCGCACCGACGGACTTATTGCAGACTAAGTCAGTCTATATTGAACATAAATTGAGGTCAGCAAAAGGCCCACAACTGATATTATATCGAAAGCATTATAAAGAAATGAAATGTTATAACGCTTCTTTCAACATTGGTTTCAATAGTTGAAAAGTATTATTCTAAATAGAGATCAGTAGAACGAAAGAATTTCGTATGATTAATATTTTTTTTCAAGATTCTTTTCAAGATGAGATTAAGCAATATGTTATGTATAATACCGTTTTAAGAAATAATAGTCAACTAATAAGAAATAGTGCTTTCACTATTGTATATATTGGAATGTCGTAATTGCCATATTTTATCGAGGATCAACTGCCATTGGATTGATATTCTTATTTGAGTTAACATACTGTACCCACTGTTTATTGCAGTTATAATCGTAATCTTTGAGGGAAATCTCAATAATATGAGAAAAATTTTCGCTTAGATTTGAATAACTATAAATATCCTAATGGTTCATTTGGATTTTATTTTAAACAATGTATATTTAATTGTTGAAGATTAAACAAAATGTAAAATTGCTTTCAAAATGATCGAAACTGTTGAGAAAACGGATGATTTGCGTATAAAGAATTGTTCTGAAGAATTTATATATCTGTGTCAGGGGTGCCCGCAGACTATGAAAAAGGGACACAGGCTGTAAAAAAGGGCATTGTATTGGTACGTTATGCAAAGAGATTCAAACTCTATGATTCAACATCGGATCAGCGCTTTCACAAAATGGTGTTGGTTGCATTCGGGGCTAACTTAGCTTCGAAAACAAAGTTTTGGTCAACATATGACGAAGTTGCATGGGTCAATGGACAAATTTCGTTCATTAGCTTCTTTTATATTTGCAGAATAAGCTAAAAGTCACGAATTATCTGTTGTTTGAGGACCTCTTGGGAATTAGAAAAAATGCAACCGAGACGAAAAGGGGTGGGCAGGTGATCCAATGTACGGGTTCCCCTGTACAGTACCTGTCGTAACATATAATCGTAACAATAAATGTTTGGAAATTTTTGTAATTATATTTTATTCTTTTTAATGTGAAAAAATAATATATTACAGCATTAACGTATTGTACATTAGTTTTATTTAAAATATATGCTCTTCACCTCAAATTAGTAGTGTCTTGCGGCTGTACATAATACTTTTCCTGTTAACACCGTTCTCGAGATTAAGGAAAGACAGACGGACGAACGACAGTGAGGAATTTATAGTTCTACAGTTTCGAAATTGCAACCCAATAAATGATTCGATATAAAAGTAGAAAGTGGATTGTAAAAACTAAGTTTTAGCAAGTTGTAACTCAAGCTGAAACTACGCTATAACACTCCTAACAACAATTTATATATGCAGACTTTGTCAGTTTGGAGGAAAATTTCTCGTTCGTTTTTAGACAAGTGCAGAATCAGCATTTTGATATTACTTACCAAGACAATAGCGATATTTTATGTATTTTGGTGCAGAAAATATGGACAAAAAAGCCGTGAAGAAATTTAATATAACCATACTTAACAAAGAATTATAATACCTATTTATCAATTCGTCTATGAATTACCAAAATAATTTTGCGCTATACATTCTAAAGATGATTACACGTTAAGTTATTTTGACACTGAAAATCAAATACCAGATTTCTATATCGGATTTTCGATGTAAAAGATAATATTCCATATAATCACTTAGTATATGATTTAGAATGTAACAAAGTTATATAGTAAAACAAAAATGTATATTGACATATTAAGCTTTTACAATAGATTCTTCTATATGTTAAGCAAATAAGTAAACAAATCAATGGCAGAGTTCATTTTATACAAAACGAATTATGCTATTGGTTTTGTTTATTTTGCTGCTGGTTACTTAAAAGCTCTGCTTAGAATGTTAATGAATTCTTTTGTTTAATTTAACTTTAAAATACAGTTACCTATCTTTTATTGAGTACTGTAATTTATTTTCTTATAAAATTATCTTATAGTCGTCATTTTAGAATCGCTTATTACTAATAAATAGCCTACTCATACATATTTTAATTTCAAGTTAAACTTGATTATGTCATTTATATTCTATAAGCTATTTTAGTCTTTGTTTCTTTTGTTGTGTTAATAAATAAACATTGTTATCAACAGTAGAATTGGAGAATATGACAAAAAGCTTATTAAAAGAATAATTACACCCTTAAATAGGAAATCAAACGATTTCAACGTATTTGATAGACCGTCTTCATGGTAAGTAACTATTCTAAATGGAACACGGAACGTTAATCGTCAAAATAAATACGAATATTTGAATAAAATCGAACATTTAAATACAAGGAAATACCAAATTTAAATGATATTTCGCTATAGTTATATATTCGTATTTGTTCAAATAAACGTATTTAATCTGACGATTAACGTTCCGTGTTTCACTTAGAATAATTTTTTCATGAAGATCTATTCATTGAACACACAATTTAATATATATATATATATATTAGTTTCAATTCTATGTAAATCATTAAAATATTCACACACGTTTCTGGGCTGCAATTTGAATATTGTAGACTTATAATTTCCCACTGTCGTCAATCCGTCTGTTCATCTTTCCTTATCTCCAGAACTAAGTTACATAGATGTACGACGAAATCAGATACGGAAACCTTAGAGGCAGGAGGCCCAGATTATTATATATGAACTTTCAATGCAAACTGGATGTCACGTTATTTCAATTCAAAAATTTCCCCTGAAAGATGTTAGATAACTTGCACGACTCTATTGTTAAAGGAAAAATATGATGTACAGGGGCAAGCCACTACTAATTTGAGGTGGAGAGCATATATTTTAAATTAAATAAATTAAAAAATATAGTTAAAAATGGCATCCCGGTATTGTGACCGTGTCACAATAAATAATTGCTCGTATTGTTTTAATATTACGTATTTTCTATTAGTTTTATTAATGAAAATTTTTTGTCACGGTATTGCGGAAAGATTTATAAATTACAATGTTAATACTAAGTTATATTAAAGTTTTAGCTTTCCAACAGAAGAAGTAAAATTTTATTTGTAATTTTATATACAGTAACCCAGTAATAATACTATATTTTTGGACTGTTAATGTAATATACAGTACATATAAGGTGATTCAAAAGGTAATACCTATAGAGTGATTTTAAAAGGATTCGAGTACAGTACAAACCAATCTGATATAAACTTTTTGGTGGCATATCAAAGGATCCATTTACGAGACATTGGTAGACTATTCGGAAGCATTGTTAGCCAGAATTCTTGCAACTGCGGATGTGGAGCGGGAAATGCTTAGGATATATGAAAGGGTACCCTAGAGTTTTCTACCAAGATGTAATGCTTGCACTGAGAGTCGAGGTTGTCAATTCGAATAACTTTTGTAAGAGTATTAATTCGTATGTACTATATTTACATTCGTGTATTCTTTGTTTTGTTATTAAATATTACTTCATCGATATGTTTTATGTTGTCCATCTATTCGCAGTATAGTTCCTTACATTAGACGGCTTGTACTGACTCGGGATTACATCAGTTAACACAGCTTCCTATTCGAAAGTTACTGTATTATTATTATGTTTTTAAGCAAAAATAATCACTCATAATTTTGTTATAGATATTAATTTATTGTTTAATCTTTCTGAACTGATTATATTAAATTTTTAATGACAATCTGTCGAAGTGTTTTATAATCAGAAATATTTAGTAATGAGGATCAAGAGTCTGTTAATTGAAATTCTTGTTCATGATGATCACAATTCTCAGAACTTCTAATACCTCTTTGAAAAGAAACTTTGAAGAAATCAAAATCTCTTTGCTGCAGTTGGGTTCCCAAATTTATATAATTGAATTAAAGAATACTTAAATATGATTAATACTATCGCTCTCCAATTTTCACTCCATTCAGTCCCAGCTTAGAAAATAAAAACTGAATGTCGTTTTACCTAATAACTTGAACATTCTGTTTATATATATATTTTTTTTTAGCTTTTTATTTAAAAATTAATTTACATATTGATTATAAATATTGCAATTTTTAGTTTAATTTAGAATTCGAAATATTTAATACTAAATCATAAGCTTTTTATGAGGTAGAATATGGGATGATATATAAGAAAAGGCGTAAGGCCTTTGCGAAAATTCATTACTGTCGTTTCGAAACAGGCAAAAAAATATAATAAAAATAAAGAACAAATTGTGTACTTTTTATAATATAATAATTTTATAAATATTTACTCAATTATTAGCTCAAATTCAACATTTATTACGTCTAAAAAAATTAAAACAGTTAGAACATTTAACACAGGGAAACAATAATAAAAAAAAAGACAAATAATTTTCGTATTTGTTTTTCTTCGTAATAAATAAAATAAATCGCGCTCTAATACATTTCTTATTTATTTTTTAAACTTTATTTTTCATAATTACAATATATGAATATACCAAATTAGAATGATTGAATTTTGGAACTTTTCTCCTGTGTTTATTTTTACAGGGCCATGAATAAATATTCCTCGTCAAGCCAAACGTATTAAATCGCCCTGCAGATTGAAACTTTTCCTTATTCTTTATTCATACATAGGTAAGATAAAAATATATATATATAAAAGAAAAAAAAAACATTTATATGTATTAAAATTTGTTGTAATTTATCCTCAGAAGAAATTGGTTTTGATTATAATGTCTATTATACATATTTAATTTAGTTGTTAATAAAGCTAAATATTCGCTGATAATTGCTAATTTTATTAAAATGTTTCGAATTCAAATTATTTAAAACATGCATAAGTATCAGTTAATTAATAATACTTTTATTAATTTATAATTATTATAAATATAATTTTAATAATTATAAGTTTTAAATTTCTCGTACTGTGATTATATTTTATATATCTTGTGTCTGAATTTAAATACGAGAGATTAAAATTGGTATAATTTTCATGAGAATAAAAGAATTTTCTGAGTGAAATCTTGAAATTCCCTATTAGAAATGTATTCGACAGTTTATCTAAAGTAATATACAGAGATTTTTTTTAATCAGATTATGGCTAACATTTTGGTTACTTGTGTTTTTCTTGTATTAAATGACTAGTTATAAGATTATAGCGGTTGCTTTTAACTACAATATCTACAATTCCCGTATGTACGGTACATAATAACTACTGTAGTCTACTATAATAAACTTTAATACTGTGGCTTGAAGTGTACGTATCTAAATTATAAAGCTTGACTCATTGGCATGAAATGTTTGAATAGAAACAGTGGGAAGGAAATAATGCAATCAAATAATAGAATGTTCAATACATTATCAATGAAATTTGAAATATTGAAAATAAAAAAATGTGTGTGTGTGAGCTACGCAACGTCAATACGAGCCATCATCGAGTTTAATTAATCCTTTACGCTCATAGACGTTTGCATCTTAATGATTGCTTCTTCATCTGTTTATTTTAAAGTTTATATTATTACTAATTTGTTCAGCATTATTCTTAATTATAACATTTAAAAAAATTTTAATATTGAATAATTTTAAATAAAATCTTAATAATAAACTGAAAAATTGTAAATAATTTACAGTAGAAGTTGTTTGGACACTAATGACTCCTGACAATAACGTGTTCATTAACGTTTTTGTAGGGGTCTCATTCAATCTAATACAGTATATTCAGGCATTGTATTATCTTCAGACTGATTAAAGAACGTACATAAACAAATTGAAGCATACAGCAGCGTGCTTTGTTACAAAACGTTCAGCAACGTCTATTGAAAATATTAAATGTTTTATGAAAATATTCGATATTCAGTCACATTTTCTGCACAGTAAATAACTGTAATGTGTAAAATATTACGTATAACGTCACAATGCCAGGATGCAATTTTTAATCATATATTTAATTTATTTAATTTAAAATATATGCTCTCCACCTCGAATTAGTAGTGGCTTGCCCCTGTACATCATACTTTTTATTTAACAATAGAGTCGTGCAGGTCACACTCATTTCAGGGGAAAGGTTTTGAATTGGTAATAACGTAACTTCCGGTTTGTATCGATTGTTCATATTGGGATCTCATACCCCTAAGCTTTCCACATCCGGCCATTCATGTGTCTAACTCCATTCTCGAGATTAAGGAAGAACAGACGGATGGACGACAGTGGGAAAGTGGGTCTACAATTTTTTCAATAATTGATAAGTACCTTTTGTTATCACGTATACGACCATCATTTTGCACGTGCATTGAAGATGGTCCGATTAACCAAATTGCCCAACTTAAATGATTTTAAAAACAATGTTTCGAAGTTCAAACAAATAAATGTTAGGTCAATAGGAGGAGGGTTTAATCCTCCATTGCCACTCCTTGTATCTGCCATTGTATGTCGCTAAGAAGATCCCGTCGTCGTCGTCGTCATCCATCTTTGATTTATTCTCCTTTTTTACCGCCGCTTGGAGCGACGAAATCGTTCATGTGGATATCCAGCTTAAAAGAATCATGCTGCTGGGCAGAGATCACTATCTGTAAAATTGAAGCAATCATCATCGATCCATTAAAGTTTTATTAGGTCAGTACATGAAGGTTATCGAAACAACTGTTATTCGATAGAAAGCAGACATAATTTCTATGTAGACTATATAAAATTATTTAAAGAGATGTCTTAGGGAAAGAGATGATTTTTTTTTCATATTCTAATAACTTGCAAAATCTGAATATATCATTGTACTCTCGAATCAAAAATACAAAGTAAGAGAAGAGAGAATGTGATTTTCTCAAATCCTATACAAATTCAAACTTTATCTCTGTTGGAAAAATATGGTGGCCATTTTCTGAGGAGGCATGACCTTATTCATTTGAATTTTTTCCCTTTAGTTTAACAATAAATATTACGTATTATAACGACTTTCTTTATGGTGTTTTGAAAGAGGCCATAGCAAACACCGTTTATGTTTATTGACACGAGGAATAGTTACGTGCATTTTGGACAATTGCGTTCGTTTCCATACGGTCAATTTTATCATTTTAACTCAGGTAACAATGGAATGGAAAATGCCAAATTATTTCCAAGATTTATTATGAATACCATCTCTTTAGTCTTCTTAAAGAAACTTTAGGCAATCAATTGTTTGCTGATATAGAATGGCTGCGTGGCCATTTCCAACTAAAATTCACGCATGGTGGACTTAATTTAACATAACGATTAATATAATAAAAAAAATTCATTATAAATGAACACTATTCGATTTTTCCAACACTTGATACTCCAACTATAACTTACTGATACAAATGGCGTAGTACACGTGCTCTACTGTCATATACCTTACGTAGTTATAATATCATGGTATTATGCTGTGTAAACTCAACATTCTATTTGAAGTGTCGATTTTGTCTGGAATGTGTTTACTAATAAATCTAACGCATTGTAGTTTTCTCATTAAGCTAACTTATCCAAGATTTTTAACTGTTACTCGGTGTCCTAATTAGATCCTGTTGACCCACTGCAAAAGTTAGAAAGTGTAGAATGTGTTAAAATTTAACATTAAATTTATTTACAGAATAGATTTAATTCATAAATATAATTTTAAATATTGTAAATACCATAACAATCAACAGTAAATATTTCTAGTATTGTAGTATTTATTAGTTTTTTTACCTTTTGAATGAAACAAAGAAGAATACTTATTAATTCATTAGTTATTAATTAGTTAATTCGTTCATTTATTCATTCATTCATTAATCATTAAAGTTATTTTTCCTGTATTCAAAAGACTCATTATAACATTTCTGGGTAGCTTTATTAAGTTTATAATCGATATAAATCTCTTGATTTAAGTTTAGATCCAACTTACAGTAAGTTAAAACAGAAAACTAAAATTAAAAATTTAGTATTGATTCCTTTTATACGTTGAGAAAATTATTTCGTTTGATAAAACAACAATCATATAAGATTTGTTATTACTGATTATATATTATGATAAAATCAATGTTTGTTTCACAAATTATTTCGAAGTTTATACAGGTATATTTATTAAAAAAAAGTTATAAAAACATTTCAAATATTAGATAATAACTTCTGAATAATAGAATTACAACGATAGAAACATTGAAAAATTAATTTTACATAGAATTTTTCATAATTTATTTGTAAAGTTGGCTTTATTGTTATGTAAGTTTTGTCTGAACACAGAAAAAATTTCACTTAAAATACATTTTACATTGTACTCGAGCAAAACTTACAAGGTTTCGGGTAATTTATTAAATTTAGCTTTAAATTTATTATTATTTTCCATGTGAAATACAATGATAAATTAATGTAATTATTTATCTCCTGTTTCCAATGAAATATTCAATGAGTTATTAATACCTGAGAAATCTGTAATCGTGTTCCAATATCGATTATGGACTTCAACCAAATAGACGAGTAATGATTATAGATTAGGTATTTTAAATCATCTATTCAATCTATCCAAAATTCAATAATTGTTGTTGTTTAGAATTTATTAAATGCACTTCATATTTACTAATTTGAAGGAAAATACATTATTTCATAATAAGTTACATAACAATTACAGTCTTTGTGGACATTCAGTAAACTTTGAAACCTATTATATTTTTGACAATATATATATATATATATATATATATAGGAGATGTTCTATTCATTCAGAAGACTTCTGAAGTCGTTTATTTTCTTTTAATTTGCAATTCAATGATTTAATGTATGCAAAGTAATGTAAAGTATCATCCAATAAGAATTTCTATCAAATATCCAGTATTTAATACTATTTGGATGCTTCATGCATTTAAATAGCGCGACGAAAAAAACTATTTACAAAGATCGATCCAATTCTGAAATATTCAATCTGTATAGAAATCTTATAAAACTGGAATGCACATGTTTTGGAATATGTTTTGAATTAATTTCATTTAAATTTTAAAAAATGATAACATAATACGAATTTTCAAAACTTTATTTATGTAAGCGAATTATTCATTAATATATACATATCTTTTTGTAGACATAATCAAATTGGCTAATAGAATCATTGACCTTTTCCTTTCTATCTCCTGTAATAGGGTTATTCCCTTATTATCTAGATGATGTTTTATTATTTTTTGAAGGATAGCCAAATGTTCGAGCGGTTAAGGTGTAAACCTACCGCTCTAGGGGACCCGGGATCGAATCCAGACGGATCAAAAGACCCAGGAATTTTTTTTGGTATTGGGCCTCTTGCGTATGTCCCCATCCCTCGCCATTACGCCGTTTTATTGTGGACGTGGCAAAATCCATGATGGACTTGCTGAAAAAAGCCATGCAAACAAAGAATTATCTTGTTTAACAATGGGGAAAGTTGCAGTTGTCTATAAGAATACTAATTTTGCTCCTTTAATCTTCTTGGCCAAATACACGTGAAGAATAATCTTTAAGCAATCTTCAGTATAATCTTATTACGTATTCGAGTATATAATTACTCTTACTTTCTTGAATGCCTTCATAGAAATCCGAATAATAATTAATATTCTATTTTAAGAAGGCCTTACGTTCATTCCAATATAAGCTTCTGAGAATATTTCTCACTGTAAACCCTT